GAGAACCCTTCCCGCTTTGCAAGGCCCCCAGTCGGCTGTGCTCGGGGCCTCCTCTGCCTGGAAGCTCATTTGTTGTCTGAGAGTTTGTAAATTGGTTGCTGTGACTTTTTAGAATTACAGCAGAACTCTTGCCAAGGATTATATGGTATAAGATTAATAAAGTAATAAAAAGATTAATAACATAATATGAGGGAGCGTGGCTTGTTCTCAAAGTGACACCTGGTCTCTCAAGTGATCAGAGCCAGAGGTGGACTCTCACAGAGCACCGGCTACAGGCTGAAAGGATCTGGGAGAGTGTAGGAGGTGGGCCAAAAACCAGGAGAATTCAACAGGTTGGCCAAACAAGGGGAGCCAACGGCAGGATCCAGAGGAGAACAGGAAAGAAAGTATCCCAGCGGATCCCAGGGGTTCAGCATGATTTGGTCGCCATAGCAAATTGTCAGGAGGGTTCTGAATATTGCCTGAGAATTGATGCTTTCTAAGAATCACTACGAGATGAAAAGTAGCTAAAGGGACATAGTAGGCTTGTTCAAACAATGTCCCAGAGAACATTTGGGTTTTTTTTTTTTTAAGATTTTTTTTATTTATTTACCCAGCAGGAGAGGGAGAGAATCTCAAGCAGACTGCGAGCTAAGCATTGAGCCTGATGCGGGGCTCGATCTCATGACCCTGAGATCATGCCCTGAGCTGAAATCCAGAGTCGGGCGCTTAACCGACTGTGCCACCCAGGTGCCCCGAGTACATTTGGTTTCAAGAATCAAATCAAAAATGGAATTGGAATTAAGGCCATTAGTGTGTGTTGCCATGATACAATTTTTAAAAATATTTTTGGTTGGTGAGAATATCCTTTCCCAGCTCAGTCCGCTTTCTCTTTTTTATTGTTACATTACACGTCCAAGGACTTTACTCTCTCCATTTGTTTCAAGTGCAGTGAAGAATCACACGAGAAGGCCAGTGGTTCACCTGTCAACAATTGGTTAAAAAATGTTTATTGTGCTGTTGTTGACAGAACCTAGATAAGACAAAACACCAGAAAGAACAAGAAATGTTTGGCACAAGTACATAGACTTCTACCCCCAGTATTGCTACCTCGATGTTTGCTTGTTAATTGTTTAGAAATTTTCCCACTAACACCCAAGCTACTGATCCTGGCAACCTTCTGTCAGCGGCTCCCTTTTGTCAATTGCGAGACTAGAAGCATCTGAGAAAGATCCAGATATCTTAAAAAAACAAACAAACATACTTGATGCTATAAACTTTACCACTTAAACAAAATCTAATATTTTAAAAATTATATGTGTCATCTGTGGCTTCAAGAGTCTAAACATCACAAGCAACATCCCAGTTCCACCCTGCATAAAAATCAGCCGCTTGCTTTTCAAGTGCACACAGCGCCATGCACGGTTCTCCAGAATGCGGGTCGCTCTACCAGCCCGAAGGTGAGATGCTGAGTGTGCACGAGCCCCTGGGCATACAGACTTCTGGAGGGACCCTACATTCTTTTTTTTTTTCTGTATTTTTTATTGTTATGTTAATCACCATATATTACATCATTAGTTTTTGATGTAGTGTTCCATGATTCATTGTTTGTGCATAACACCCAGTGCTCCACGCAGAATCTGCCCTCCCTAATACCCATCACCAGGCCAACCCATCCCCCTGCCCCCCTCCCCTCTAGAACCCTCAGTTTGTTTTTCAGAGTCCATCGTCTCTCATGGTTGGTCTCCCCCTCCAACTTACTCCCCTTCATTCTTCCCCTCCTGCTATCTTTTTCTTCTTCTTTTTTTTTTCTTAACATATATGGCATTATTTGTTTCAGAGGTACAGATCTGTGATTCAACAGTCTTGCACAATTCACAGCACTCACCATAGCACATACCCTCCCCACTATCTATCACCCAGCCACCCCCACCCCTCCAGCAACCCTCAGTTTGTTTCCTGAGATTAAGAATTCCCATATCAGTGAGGTCATATGATACATGTCTTTGTCTGATTGACTTATTTCGCTCAGCATAACACCCTCCAGTTCCATCCACGTCGTTGCAAATGGCAAGATCTCATTCCTTTTGATGGCTGCATAATATTCCATTGTGTATATATACCACCTCTTCTTTATCCATTCATCTGTCGATGGACATCTTGGCTCTTTCCACAGTTTGGCTATTGCGGACATTGCTGCTATAAACATCGGGGTGCACGTACCCCTTCGGATCCCTACATTTGTATCTTTGGGGCAAATACCCAGTAGTGCAATTGCTGGATCATATGGTAGCTCTATTTTCAACTGTTTGAAGAACCTCCATACTGTTTTCCAGAGTGGCTGCATCAGCTTGCATTCCCACCAACAGTGTAGGAGGGTTCCCCTTTCTCCGCATCCCCGCCAACATCTGTCGTTTCCTGACTTGTTAACTTCAGCCACTCTGAGGGGTGTGAGGTGGTATCTCATGGAGGTTTTGATTTGGGTTTCCCTGATGCCGAGCAATGTTGAGCACTTTTTCAGGTGTCTGTTGGGACCCCGCATTCTTTATTCTTTTTTTTTTTTTCCTGAATGAGGGATGGTGGCCAGAATTTCCCTCTTTCTAAAAGGCAGGGAAGGAGGCAGAGGGGGAAGAGAAGGAGGAAAGGGATATTCTTTTAAGGAGCCCTCCCTCTCATGCCCACAGTGCTGGAGAGCTGAGTCTGGGGAGCTCCAGATCACACAGTATCAGCTCCTCCTCCTCGGAGTGAAACCTGCTTTGCAGGGGCCGTGACTCTTATGGCTCAGGGGATCGGCTCAATCTTTGCTTATAAACTGTGGAATCAGCTGTTGGAGGTGCCAACCTCTTCCTTTTCAGGGCTCCTTCCCCATGTCACACCTGGTGCATGACATGAGCTTATGCCCCAAACCCTGCACTGAACTCTAGCTGCCCCTGCACCACTGTTTGACAGTTGGTGCCCTGGAGTGGCTGAGCCTGGCTGGCTTGCCATCTCACTAAGGAGTCCAGCAGATCCCATGACATGGAATCCAGGGCTCCTGCCCACCAGCCTGGCTCTGTGCTCAGGATATCTGCCATCTGTCCCGCTGGGAAGTGACACCGGGTCAGACGTCACCAATGAGCCTTCTGTGCCTCCTTTGAACCTTCTATCAGGGCACACGGATGGCTCTGGAGGCTCAGAAATAAGCTCCTTACAAAATGCAGTCACCTCCCACCATCTGTGCCCTTGTGGCCGCTCAGACCAGAACATCAGCTAGGAGAGAGCATACCTCCTAAGTCAGCAAGACATGTACTGTGTTAAACGGCTCCCTTTTGTCAGTTGCCATAATAGAAGTGTCTGAGAAATATGCTCTTAGCAGTTATAGGGAAATGGAAGTATTGATGTGGCCAGCTCCCAATTATCCAAGGGCCACTTCTCCAATTTGTGAGTTCCCTAGCTTTATAGTTGTTTCTCCTTTCACTATTGCACTGAGGGTGAACGAAGCAAAGAAAGGACATACGTATTTATTTTGCTCTTGATAAAAAAGACAAAAATAAAGTCCAATTCAAGTGTGGAGGAATGGGGGCTGAAATTGGAAAGTAGATTTGGGGGCTATCTGTGGATTGTATCTCTCACCATCATAACCAGAAACATTCAGCAAAAGTTTGTATAGTCCCTAGTCCTACTTAGGAAAATTTCTCGTAACAAACATAAGAGAGGATTTCCCTGTTAGTTTTTCTGCAACGGGACTTTTCTTACACCTTAATCGTAAATATATTTCAATGGAAAGAACTGGGACAAGGGTGAGATTGACCTGGTTCAAATCCCAGCTGGTCCATATCTACTGGGTGGCATCAGAAAGAGAACTTCTCTGAGGCTCATTTCCCTTAGATCAGGTGCAGAGAATGATCATCATGAGGGTTGCTGAAAGGGTGATAGTAGAAAATGTTTATGAATGACCCAGGCCACGACAGGGAGTTGGTTTAGAGACCAGTTTCTCAGTGCATCACTTTGGGTAGGTTCCTGGACCTGTCAGTCCCTCTGGGTCCTCACCTGTGACTTGGGAGTCATCATGATAATGATAATTAAGCTCTTCCCCTCAAGGCCAGTCAGGGTAAGTGAGTGAATGCATCCCAAAGCCATAGAACACACAATCCAGCAGACAGCTAGTTTTACTTTGTCTACTCTCTTAAATTTTCTAGAAAGTCTATGCTAAAGACACGTCTGTTGAGTATATTTGGGTGAAAAGGAGATTTTGCTTGTGAAGATGCACTCTTTTTTCTTGTATTTATTTAGTCTTTGCACAAATATATATGGCAGCCACTGCCGGTTGGGAGACACTGGGTGTGGGTATCCAACCCGGGGCTCAAGCCACAAGGCCAGGAACAGAAAATGCAAGAATAGGACAGAATAAGCCGAGACCCCCAGGCTGGAGGATTCTTGGATTAGAACCAAGGAATTGAAATTAAGGAGTATTTTTGCTGTTTCACGGATGAGAAACACCTGCCCAAAACCTTCGAGAGTGAGCTGAGAGCGGGCCTAAGGCAGTTTCCCAGGGACCAGATTTCAGGTCTCAACTCCCCTGGATTGTGAGCTCCATTAAGGTATTAGGAGGAGGCTTCACTTTCATGCCCCCACAGTACCCAGGAAGGCCCTACCCCGGGGGCCAGAAATGCTTCCCTGAATTAATTTTAGGTGAAGTCACACCCCGGGCTCCAGGTGGAGTGTACCTGTCTCTGAGTCAGTCTCTTCTGAGCTGCGGTACCTAGCACAGCACTGACATGAAATAGTCACCCTATTTCAATTCATTGATAGATTGAACTTTTTTGTTAATTTCATTACACAGACACACACAAAATGCTCTCATGATTTTCTGGCTAGAAAAGCCAACACATAAAATAAGTTCTATATCTCTACCCAGTTTTTAGAATCACAGAAAGCTCAGCCTGGGGGCAGACAGAAAAAGAGAAGAAAAATCTAAAAAATGTTTTATGTCTCAGGCGTTTAAATTGTCAGGCTTGTGTCTCTCCTTTATCACTTCACAGCTCCTGAGGTCCTGGCCCAGAAACCGTACAGCAAAGCTGTTGACTGCTGGTCCATCGGGGTGATTGCCTATATCTTGTAAGTATTGCTTGCCACCTTGGTTGGTTTTTTTTTTCTTTCTTTCTTTCTTTCTTTCTTTCTTTCTTTCTTTCTCTCTTTCTTTCTTTCTTTCTTTCTTTTTTATTGTGGCAAAATATACATAACACAAAATTTACCACTTTAACCATTTTTTAACGTACTGCTCAGTGGCATCAGGTACATTCACAGTGTTGGGCAACTATCACCACCAGCCATCTCCAGAACTTTCTCATCTTCCCAAAGGACAGCTCTGTCCCCATTAAACACTAACTCCCTGAGGTCCCTGGCAGCCACCTTCCTACTTTCTGTCTCTGTGCACTCGACTACTCTTGATTCCTTGTGTCAGTGGGGTCATCCAGTATTTGGCCTTTCGTGACTGGCCTTTTCATTTATCATAATGTCCTCAAGATTCATCCATGTTGTAGCAGGTGCCAGAATTTCCTTCTTTTTAAGGCTGAGTAATTGTCCATTATATGCATATAATACATTGTGTTTTTCCATTTATCCATCAGTGGACACTGGGTGGTTTCCACCTCATGGCTCTTGTGCATAATGCTGTTACGAGCACAGGTGTACAAGTGTCTGCCTTTGGGGGTATACCGGAAGTGGAGTGGCTGGATCATATGGTACTTCCGTTTAACTTTTTGAGGAATCTCCACACTGTTGCAAAGTGGCACTCTCGCTTTACGTTCCTGACCACAACGCGCAAGGGTTGCAGTTTCTCCACATCCCTCCCAACACTGATTTCCCATGTTGTTGTCGTTTTTTTTTTTTTTAAGATTTTTTATTTATCTGACAGACAGAGACACAGCGAGGGAGGGAACACAAGCAGGGGGAGTGGGAGAGGGAGAAGCAGGCTCCCAAGGAGCAGGGAGCCCGACACGGGGCTCGATCCCAGGACCCTGGAATCATGACCTGAGCCGAAGGCAGACGCTTAACGCCTGAGCCACCCAGGCGCCCCTGATTTCCCATGTTTTATAATAGCCATCCTAATGGGTATGAAGTGCTTTCATTGTGGGTGTGATTTGCTTTCTCGTTTTTAAAATTTATTTGTAGTGTGCTTGTTTGAGTAGAGTTGACACACAGTGTTAATATTAGTTTCAGGTGTACAACATAGTGATTCGACAACTCTATACATTACACTGTGCTCGAAGTGCAGCTGCCCTCTGTCACCTCACAAGGCTATTACAGTATCATTGACCATATTCCCTGTGCTCTACCTTTCATCCCCATGACTTAGTCTTTCCATCGCTAGAAGCCTGGACCTCCCTCTCCCCTTCACCCATTTGGCTCATCCCCCAGCCCCCTTCCCTCTGGCAACCATCAGTTTGTTCTCTGTGTTTATAGGTCTGATTCTGCTTTTTATTTATTTATGTATGTATTTGGTTCGTTTTTTTAGATTCTACATATGAGTGAAATCTTATGGTATTTGTCTTTCTCGGTCTGACTTAATTCACTTAGTATAATACCCTCTATGTCAATCCATGTTATTGCAAATGACAAGATCTCATCCTTTTTTATGGCTGAGTAATATTCCTCTGTGTGTATGTGTGTGTCTGTCTGTCTGTCTATGGACACATGGGTTGCTTCCATGTTTTGGCTATTATAAATAATACTGCAATGTTTCTCTTATGGCTAATGATGTTGAGCATCTTCTCGTGTGCCACCTTAGATTTCCTGGGGATACAAACCACTATGAAAGTATTAGGACATCGCCAAAAGAAATCAAAATGAGAAAAAATTTGATGAAAACCGAAATTGAGCCTTTAGATTCCTCATTTCTTCTCAGGTACCTCATTTACACAACCCAGGAAATGCTATCCTAGGCATAGTGTTGTCGCAGTTAATTAAGGGTGATCAATTTTAGGTTTTATTATTATTTTCTATTTTGCTTAAGTCCACTGTCAAGTTATTTTTTAATTACAATTTCTTTTTGCAGTGATACTTTCAAATGCTTGCTACGGAGCATATTCCTAGAGTGGGTTTGGGCCAACTGGTGTCTGTAATTGATAGGAAATAAATTTCTCCCCGAGGAAGGGAAGGCTTTCTAGCAGATAGAGCCCGCTACACACAATGAAAGACCATGGGGGATTGTGATCAGAGAAAGGTGTGACAGTATGTGGCATCCTCAGGGACTGCTGGAAACATCCCCCCCTGAGTTGGCTTTGTCTCAGTATCTGGAAGGCAAGCGGTCTTTCTACAGCATACATTCAGCTGGGCAGCTTTTGTAGTTTAGTGTGGATTTAGTTGACAGCTCCTGTAAATGCCTGCCATTATGACAGGATTTATCCATTATAATGTCCTTGGCCCCTACGGCTCCCACTTATGGAAATAGGTAAAGGCCAGGTTCATCTGAACTATAAAGCTAGCATATTGCACTTACAGAGTGCTTTCACTTTCAAAGCACGTTGACTGTCTTTTAAGGTAGTTTCATCCTTTTTCATGGGGAGGGAGGAGTTACAGACCCTTTGAGAATCTGGTGAAAGCTGTGGACCCTCTCCCCTAATAAATTCACACACACACATACACACACACATACACACACACACACTTCTGCATACCTCATTAGGGAGCTTCCTGGGTAAGCCGAAAGCAGACACAGGCTGTGTGTTCTTTACTCTGGCTCCTTAAAACCCCAGTGGAAATTCTTATCAGAGGTCCTACCTTGCCAAACTTGACATGGAAGATTTAAAGAAATGAATGACGAGCCACTGTCCTTCCTGCAGAGGACCAAAGCTGGTATCATCTAGAGAAATCTGGGGCTAGGCAAAAAGCGCCCCTTCCTCTGGGCTTCTGCTTGCTTGTTCCTTCACATCTGTTCTGAATCCTGAACCACCGCTCTGGTCTACACAGATGTCAATAGATTCCCTTTGCATATATAACTGTATATGTAATTGTCTCCCTGAAGTCTTGGCACTGGGGTAGGGTATCTATCTGCACAGCTATGAGGAGGTGCAGATGGCTTTACTGAGATAAACATTGGTATCTTAGACATTCGGCTGCTAGCACAAAATACGGTAGACCAGATGACTCAATCAGCAGATTCGTTTCTCACAGTTCAGAAGGCTGGGAAGTTCAAGATCTAGGTGCCTGCTGATTCAGTTCCTGGTGAGGACCTTCTCCCCACCTCACAGACCGCCACCTTCCTGTGTCCTCGTAAGGCAGAAGGGGAACATGCATGTTCTCTTGTGTCTCTTCTTATAAAGGCACTGATCCCAGTATGGAGGCCCCATCCTCATGACCTCATCTGAACCTAATTGCCTCTCAAAGGCCCATTTCCAAACACCATCACCTTGGGGGTTAGGGCTTCAACCTATGAATTTGAGGGGGATACTCTTCAGTCCATAGTAAATGGTTTGGTTGTGCTATGCTTAATAGAATTATTACAGTGGAATCCCCTTAAAACATGGACATTTCAGGATGGGCATAGCACCTACTTTATAATAATGCCGACATCAAACATCTGTAGAACAGTGCAAGAATATAAATATGGTCACAAGTTTTATCTCCCTTCACCCTCCCTACAATCCTACAAGATAGATGCAGTTTTTATTAAACCCACTGAGAGAAGATAAAACTTAGGGAGACTACATAATATAACTTGGTATCAGAATCAACATTTGAACCCAAGCCCCACTCTGACTTCCAGTCCAGCTCTTTGTGCTAACATCTTAGGCCCTCACGTGCAGACATGGCCCCACGTCACTGAGAGAAGAGAGGACGTTTCTCTCCATGTTATATCCAGCTTGTGTTTATTTCTTTCTGCAAATGTTTACAGAATATGTACCATGCACCTGTCACTATGGTCGATACTGGGAATGAGTGCTCAACAACACATGCAGAGCCCCTGTGTTTGTGAAGCTGGCTCACAGTCTCGTGAAAGAGACAGGCATTCAAAGAAACCTCATAAATGAACATGGAATTTTAAAATGTGCAAAGTGCTTTGAAAGAAGAGGATGAGGGGCTCTGGCAACATGGAACAGAGGTTACCTATTTCTAGTGGGTGGCTGGGGAACCCTTCTCTGAGCAGAGGACCTAATAAAACAAAACCTAAATGATAAGTAGGTTAGGCAGATAAAGCGTGAGGAGGAAGTATTCCAGGCAGAGTGAATAGCGTGAGCAGAGGATGCTTTCAGCTGCAAGTAAGGGACAAACCAGGCCCAACTGGCATAAGCATTTAAAAAAAGTCATACCTCACATAATAACAAGTGCATAGGTGGGAAAGCCCCATGAGTGCCTAAGTCAGATCCTCATTCCCAGGTTACATCCACCCTTGCTCTCCGCCATCCTCAGTGCATCGGTTTTTCCTTGCACCCTCCTCAACCAAACATGATGGCCGCCATAGCTGCAGGCCTCAGGGACAGACCCAGTACCAACTGGTGGAAGAAGAGGTGATGCTTAGCCCTGTGTACCTGTAAGGGCTAGACTGTCTTCCCCAGAAGTCCCTCAGCCAATGTTCCCTCATGTCTCCTTGGCCAGAAATGCCACCCACACTCATTTCTAAAGCGGTCCCTGGAAGAGAGAATGGGATGATCACAGCTGGCCGAATGAAGCAGGTGACTGTGTGGAGGAGGGGCAAATCACAGTTGTGCTGGGGAAGAAAAAGCAGGAAACAGATTTGCAGTAGGTAAAGAACGTGTCTGCCATGGCCCACAGGTAGGGCATTATGAGAAAGGCCAGCATGGTTACAGTATGGTGTCAATACAGGATATCAGAAAAGTTACATTCCAAGAGGTAGGCAAGAGCCTGGGGAAGGAGAGACTTGGCAGAAAGTTTGGTTTAACAGAGGTTAATGGGAAGCTAAAGAAGGATTTGGGCCTGAGGTGTGCACTGACCTGATTTCACTCGAGGACTGTTCCGGCTACTCTGTGAACAGGGGTTGAGCAGGCAGCAGTGGAGGGTGCAGACCCTCGAGAGGCGCTGTCAGGTGAGCGGTGCGAGTTGCTTCTACCAGGGAGGCAGTGATGAGGGTCAGGTGGTAGGTGTATTTTGGATGCAGG